TAGTATTCAATGCCCAGTGATAATAAGTCGTTAAAACTGTTGCTCTTTCTTGATTGCTCAACTTTCGTGGTTTTTTTTTTTTCAGAAAAAAACAACTATTCCAACTACCCATCTGACTTGCATGTACTGTTCACGATGATACCCGAGTACAAGCAACTTCTTGAAGAGGTTAGCGTTGTTTGAGTTTTGACTAGACAGTAATTTTTTTTCAATTTCTTCACCCGTCTCCGCGTCTGCGATAAGCTAGCACGACTGTTTCATACCATTGTGCTGAAGTAGAGAGAAATTAGATACCAGTAAGAGCATTAACTGGAACACTCACCACAATTTCTTTGAGTCGCGCCGAACGGATTTCTGATTCTACAGTAGAGAAGATCTGCTCAATCCTTTTGATCTCATTTGGTTAAATTCATCTGTCTTCATTACAATTTTAGAACATATCCACTCTCTACAAAATTTTACCGCCGCAGCAGGTTACGAAAGATTCTGCACAAATGTCGTGCACTAAAAAAGAAACTGGCTGTTGTGAAGTAACAGAAAGAGATCCAGGTAGTTACTACAAATTTCTTTACCAATACCATATAAATTGTTGGATGTCAGAGATCGAGTCAAAGGAGGACCTTAAGGAGACACAGCCTAGCCCATGCATTACAGAAGCAGTTGCTCCAACTTCAAAAAAGGAAATGGTAATTTCTTTTTCTCCCAAAAACCGGATATACATGACACGTTATATGCCATTCAATTGGTGTGTTCCATTTTGTCCAATTTAGAGCGTGGATGAGATTTCTCCCTGTTCTTCGAGACCGCCGAGCGATATTGTTCCTCAATCTCCTGAAGCTACTGATGATGAAAATGAAATGGAAATCACTCTGCATGCAAATTTTGAATCTTTTCCAAAGGGTATGTTTTTTCAATGTTACTACTACAGCATTTACCGTCTTTCGATTGTTCACGCAAATTTAGAACTCGACGCACGTAATGCACAGTCTTCAAGTGCAATTGCAAATGGTTTATCTCACATGGTTTTAAGTGTCTCACGAATGAGCTGCATCGAAGATGAAGTAGTACCAATTATTTGTGTTTTTTTTTTTCTAAAGGAATTGTTGAACAGCATTCGCTCATTCATCTCAAGATATCATCCTTCAGGGTCT